GCTTTAAAATTGCACATGCTCGTGGAATGGTGTCAAACTACGGTACATAAAATACTCCATGAGTGGCGCTTTAAAAATTTCTACAGGTTACCAGTGTAAAGTTACCGAGGAGGTCTAGTGCTAGAATGATTGCTCTGACGTTCACAGCGATACCTCACGTGTGTGGTTTGAACACCGTTTACATATGTGGGCGTGGCCTATGTACTCGTTCACAACTACCTGAGAGCACGGGGGGAAACTTTTTTTTTTTATTATTTAAATTTTTTTATGGGGTTTTTTTTTCACACTGTCCCTTTAAAAAAAATGTTTTATTCTTTGCATGCATCCCCTCTGATAAAAATAATTAGCGACAGGTCCTCTTTATGGAGAGATATGGGGTCAATAAGACCCCACATCTCTCCTTTACAATGTAAAGCATTAGATAAAAAAAAAAAAAAAAGCACTGATCTAGTCAGTGCTTTAAAAAAAAAAAAAGAAAAGAAAAAGAAGAGGCCATGTTTACACGGAGTGGGAAGCGGACGTGACATCGCTCCGGTCCTCCAAGGGCATAGAGATGAGTGGAGGCCACCTTTCCTTCACTTATCTCTATGCCCAGTGTTCGGTGGTTTCTCAGGTATGGCTGAGAACAAATGAACAGTGGCAGGGGTGGGCGGGCGGTTGGCAGGGTTATTTTCGGCACCTGTATCAGTGCTTATTTTCATATCGGCCAACGACTGATAGAGGTGTTTTCGGCCACAACGTTTTGGCCACCAACATTTTGCTGCATCCCTAAATTCATACATACATATACTAGAGCCAATTTAGACAGGATCCGATTCACCTACCAGCATGTCTTTAGAATGTGGAAGGAAACCGGAGTACCCGGAGGAAACCCACGCAGGCACAGGGGAGAACATGCAAACTCCAGGCAGGTGGTGCTGTGGTTGGGATTCGAAACAAACCTGCCAGGAGGAAGTGCTAACCATTCAGCCATTGTGCTGCCCACATGTGGAGTTGTACTTTATATGAACAGAGAGCTTTGTAGTGTGTTTTGTTCGGCTTACACATGGAACACAACAGGATGTGTCTTATTTTGTAAGAAGACTTTCTCAACCTGTTTAGAGAACAAAGACGGTGAGGGCCGGTCTATAAGGATGACACACACAGGAAAAGCTGTTCAAACACAGGGAGCTTCAACTGCAGCCCAAGGCTCTCTCTGGGGAATATTTCATATGAAACTGGACTGCTGGAATCCCCCCATCTAGGGGATCCAGGAAACAAGGCATGCCATTCACCCGTCATCGTAATGTACAACATTATAAATACATTGTCATGTAACACTCCAAGTGTCACAGGGTGACCATACATGCACCCATCTGATCAAATGATTCTTCACAGAATCCAACAATAAGATCGAATCTATCAATTATGGATTTGCCATTTGCTCAGTGAAAGTGCATGTACATTTGTTCGGGGCAAAAAAAAACAACTGCAAACATCCTATTCGAATGTAAACCATAGACTTTAAATGAAAAATACAATCTTTGGCCACTAGATGGAGCTGAGCATTAGAGGAAACTCCTACAATACTTTGTGTCATCTAATGGCCAAATGTGGAATTTTCCATTTCTATCCTGAGCTGGTCAAATGTAAACCAATTGATTGTATAGTCTAATAGCATTTATTTTTGTAATCGTTCATACAGAACAAAGGTACATGCACTTTGACTGGGAGAATGGCCATGCGATTTCTTTATAAATCAACCGCTAGCTGTGCCAATGATCGATTTTGAGTAAAACCGATCGATTTCACTGAAATATTTCTGATCAGTGTGGACGCAAAACCCAATGATAGGACAGTAGATGGAGCAATATGGTTGTTACGTGTATGGCACATGGATCAGTCTTTTCAATCTTCTGATTGTTTTCCCAGACAGTAGACAATACGATTGTATATAAAATCATTTCATGTATGGCCACCAATAGAGCTTGCAGAACATTAACCACTTCCCGACCAAGACGCTGCTGGATTGGAAGGGTGATATTACGGTCATTGAGGGTTTTTTTTTTTTTTTCGGCCGGCGATTCCCTTCTCTTGTACAATTAATGCTACCGGCTAAAACGCTGCTGGATTACTTTTGCAGGTAGTGGAAGAAGGTCCCACCCCTCCCCCATCACCTTTACCGGGCTCTCCCAAGCAATCAGGGAGCCCGGTAAGCATGGCACCAGCGGCCTCGGCTTCCCCAAACAGAAACTGATGAGACTCCTCCCACTATGTGATGTCACAAACCAGAAGCGAGGAGGATTTCATCACTTCTGGTTCCATTTCCATTGTTTACAGCTTGTGTAGCAGCAGATCAAACAGATCTTGGTTTGATCTGCTGCTTTGGAGGCCAGAGGAGAGATCTGGGATCTGATAGACCAGATCTCTCCATAAAGAGGACCTGTCAAAGCCCATGCAAACATAATGGATGTTGTTCATTCCCTGTGATAGCAATAAAAAGGATTAAATAAAATTGTAAAGGTACAGTAACATTAAAATACAGTGGTACCTCGGTTTACGAAGTTAATGCGTTCTCTGGGACGTTTTGTATTGCGAAAAATTTGTAAACCGAAATGCGGTTTCCCATAAGAATGCATTGAAAACAATTCATTTGTTCCGGAGGTCAGGAAAAAAAAGTGTAAAAAAAAAAAAAAAGTCTTTTATCTGTTCAAAACTCTTTATAAAGTGCACTTTAAAGGCATAAATACTGTACAGGGACATGATAAAAAATAATTCATAAATGCATTGAAAACCAATTAATCCGTTCCGGAGGTCAGAAAAAGGTCAAAAAAAGTTTTATCTGTTCAAAACTCTTTATAAAGTGCACCTTAAAGGCATAAATACTGTACAGGGACGTTAAAATTTCCAGAATGGCTCCAAAACTTGATGCAAAAACCGCTCCAACACCTCCACACTCGACGCCATGTGCTACCCACAGACTCCATCATGCACGGGGGCGGTGCTATGAACCTCCCAGGCGCAATGCATCTTGGGGAAACTTGCTTCGTATTGCGAAAAAATTTGTAAACCGAGGCATTATTTTCAATAATTTTTTAATCGTAAACCGAAAATTATGTTAACCGAGGCATTCGTAAGGAACCACTGTACAAATAAAAGTGTCCCCATCCCCCCATGCTCACGCTCAAAGGAGAACGCACACGTCGGACCTGCACACATTTGTAATCAGCAATCGCACCACGTGAGGTATCACCGCAAATGTCGCAGTGACAGCAATCATTCTATCAGCAGGACTCCCGTGTGACTGAGACTGATACCATGTAAAGGCCTTTAAAGCATTGCCTATGGAGAATTTAAAGTGGAGTTCCAAAGAAAAAAAAATAAAAGTCAGCAGCTACAAAAACTGTATCTGCTGACATTTAAAAAATGGACACTTATCCGTCCCATGATCTCACAGTGCCCCATCCCCCCTCTGCAGCCAGTTTCATCCCCCGCCCTGTCTTCCCAGCACTGACATCTTCATTGTGGGCACCCAGCTGTGACAACTTGTGGCTTCACAGCGGGGGTGCCCATTGCGCATGTGCGAGAAGTGCTGAACTTTGTGAATGGCCCCGTAGTCTTCTGGGTCTTGTCATGTGTCCCAGAAGACTACAGGGAGGGGACGACTTCTGATCGCCTAGGCCTGAGGTCTAAAAACTCTCTAAACAAAGGGACAGTTTACTGTCCTTCAAACTTTAGGAGGGCTGGTGGTCAGTGGGAGTAGAAAATATCCTGACTTGGGAGTAAACAATGCCCCCTGATTAGTATCAGGGGGAGGACTAGTGCCCCATCCTTGGTGTCGGTGGGAGGAATAGTGCCCCATCCTTGGTGTCGGTGGGAGGAATAGTGCCCCATCCTTGGTGTCGGTGGGAGGAATAGTGCCCCATCCTTGGTGTCGGTGGGAGGAATAGTACAACATCATTGGTGTCGGTGGGAGGAATAGTGCCCCATCCTTGGTGTCGGTGGGAGGAAATAGTGCCCCATCATTGGTGTTGGTGAGAGGAATAGTGCCTATTTTTGGTGTCAGTGGCAGGAACTATACCCCACTGTTGCTAATAGTGGGGGAAATAATGCTCCAAGGGCCAAATAAAAGCAAGCAAAGGGCTGCAGTTTGGAAACCACTGGCCTAGGCGATCACAGCGGAAGTGGAAGCGAGTACCTGTCAATTTCGGATACCCAGTGCCAATCCCTAACAGGAAGCGGGGAACCAGTCCTCAAAGCAGAACTTCCCCTTTTGGGTGGCGCTCCGCTCTACGGTACTGTATTTTGTCATCATTCCATGGGCGGACGCAGTTTTAAGGTTTGACATGTTTGGTATTAATTTACTCGGTGTGACATCATCCTTTTATGTATTATATTGTGTGCATTAAAATTCAGTAAATTCCTCATGACATAAAAAATTGCAACACCCACCAGTTTATTCTCCAGGGCCTCTTCTTAAAATACATATAATGTTCGGGGGTTCTAAGTAATCTTCTAGCAAAATAAATACAGATTTGTACACGTAGGAGGAGTATCACACTTGGTCTGTATGGCTCTACAGTTGGGGGGCAGGAAAGGGTTAGACCTCCGGTCTGGTTTTTATAGCACTCTCTGTTCCCATTGCAGACATTTCCCCTCTCTATTTGTACTGGGGACCATTATCACTGAGAAAGAAGTGAGAGGAAAGTCAACATGTTAGAGTTGTCCCCAGAAAAAGAAGTGAAGGGGAATCTTCCAACGAGGACACCAATGAGGGAATTGCTGTTACCTCCTGTTGTGTCTCAAGAACAGGAAGTGAAGGGAAAGTCCCCCAATGGTACCCAGACAGTAAACATACCCAGCCAGGGGTTCTACCCCTTCCCTCGGTATGGCCGAGCATACACTTTACTGAGCTGTGAAAGGCCAGGTCTCAGCATGACTCTGCAGTCCAGGAACGACCAGGCATGCTGGGTCCTGTAGTGCCCCGACCCCTGGTACAGTCCAATGCTCCGACCACTCACCTTGACCCTCTTTCCCTGGATCTCCAGAGTCTTCATGGTGAAGTCCACCCCGATGGTGCTCCCCTGACGCTCCACAAAGACGCCGCTCTTGAACCTCTGCACCACACATGTCTTCCCGACCCCGGCATCCCCGATCAGAACGATCTTGAAGAGGAAATCATAAGCGTCGTCCGAGTCTATTGGGGTGGACATGCCGGGGTCCCGGGAGCCGAGTCTCCTCCAGCTGCCCGTGACGTGGTGCGAGCACCCGCGGATCTGACAACGCGGAACTACAGGAGAAGGACACCAGGGCTGTCCCACTGCTCTGCCTAACTCGATTACACGGCAAGTAATACACCACTTTCACATTGCTGCCCCAATACTGCCTGAATGGAATACAACGGAAAAGATAGAGCCCTTTCATATTGGTGTCCTTACTGCTGCCGGACGAAACTTTAAAGAGCCATAAACATTGTGAAATATGAGAGGGCGAGGGATTGTATTGTTTAGTGAGTCACAGACAAGTATTCAGTGTTATTAACATAAGTGACTTGCATATTTCTTCCACGTCACTAACTCACTTGTAGTGAAGCAAGGATTTATATACATATATATATAATTGCCCCTCTCTTCCTCCTCCAGTGTCCCCTCTCTGTACTGCTCCTCTCTCCCTCCTCCGGTGTCCCCTCTCTGTACTCTTCTCATCCGCCTCAGGTGTCCCCTCTCTGTACTTCACCCTCCTCCGGTGTCCCCTCTCTCTACTGCTGCTCTCACCCACCTCCGGTGTCCCCTCTCTCTACTGCTGCTCTCACCCACCTCCGGTGTCCCCTCTCTTGTACTGCTCCTCTCACCCTCCTCCGGTGTCCCCTCTCTGTACTTCTCCTCTCACCCGCCTCTGGTGTCCCCTCTCTGTACTGCTCCTCTCATCCTCCTCCGGTGTCCCCTCTCTGTACTGCTCCTCTCATCCTCCTCGGTGTCCCCTCTCTGTACTTCTCTCTCACACCCACCTCTGGTGTCCCCTCTCTGTACTGCTCCTCTCATCTGCCTCGGTGTCGCCTCTCTGTACTGCTCCTCTCATCCTCCTCTGTGTCCCCCTCTCTGTACTGCTCCTCTCATCCTCCTCTGGTGTCCCCCTCTGTACTGCTCCTCTCACCCACCTCTGGTGTCCCCTCTCTGTACTGCTCCTCTCACCCACCTCTGGTGTCCCCTCTCTGTACTTCACCCGCCTCCTCCTGTCCCCTCTCTACTGCTTCTCTCATCCGCCTCTGGTGTCTCCCCTCCTCTGTACTGCTCCTCTCACCCTCCTCGGTTTCCCCTCTGTACTGTCCTCACCCCCACCTCCGATGTCCCCTCTGTACTGCTCCTCTCATCCTCTCCGTTCCCCCCTCTCTACTGGTCATCCTCCTCCGTTCCCCCTCTCTGTACTGCTCCTCTCATCCTCCTCTGGTGTCCCCTCTCTCTACTGCTCTCTCTCACCCACCTCTGGTGTCCCCTCTCTGTACTGCTCCTCTCACCCACTTCTCTGGTGTCCCCTCCTACCCGCCTCCGATGTCCCCTCTCTACTGCTTCTCTCATCCGCCTCTGGTGTCCCTTCTCTGTACTGCTCCTCTCATCCTCCTCCAGTGTCCACTCTCTGTACTGGTCCTCTCATCCTCCTCCGGTTTCCCCTCTCTGTACTGCTTCTCTCACCCACCTCCGATGTCCCCTCTCTGTACTGCCCTCTCTCCTACTCCGTTCCCCCTCTCTGTACTGCTCCTCTCCATCCTCCTCCGTTCCCCCTCTCTGTACTGCTCCTCTCATCCTCCTCTGGTGTCCCCTCTCTCTACTGCTCCTCTCACCCACCTCTGGTGTCCCCCTCTCTGTACTGCTCCTCTCACCCACCTCTGGTGTCCCCTCTCTGTACTTCACCCGCCTCCGATGTCCCCTCTCTACTGCTTCTCTCATCCGCCTCCGGTGTCCCTTCTCTGTACTGCTCCTCTCATCCTCCTCCAGTGTCCACTCTCTGTACTGGTCCTCTCATCCTCCTCCGGTTTCCCCTCTCTGTACTGCTTCTCTCACCCACCTCCGATGTCCCCTCTCTGTACTGCTCCTCTCATCCTCCTCCGTTCCCCCTCTCTGTACTGCTCCTCTCATCCTCCTCCGTTCCCCCTCTCTGTACTGCTCCTCTCATCCTCCTCTGGTGTCCCCTCTCTCTACTGCTCCTCTCACCCACCTCTGGTGTCCCCTCTCTGTACTGCTCCTCTCACCCACCTCTGGTGTCCCCTCTCTGTACTTCACCCGCCTCCGATGTCCCCTCTCTACTGCTTCTCTCATCCGCCTCCGGTGTCCCTTCTCTGTACTGCTCCTCTCATCCTCCTCCAGTATCCACTCTCTGTACTGGTCCTCTCATCCTCCTCCGGTTTTCCCCTCTCTGTACTGCTTCTCTCACCCACCTCCGATGTCCCCTCTCTGTACTGCTCCTCTCATCCTCCTCCGTTCCCCCTCTCTGTACTGCTCCTCTCATCCTCCTCCGTTCCCCCTCTCTGTACTGCTTCTCTCATCCTCCTCTGGTGTCCCCTCTCTCTACTGCTCCTCTCACCCACCTCTGGTGTCCCCTCTCTGTACTGCTCCTCTCACCCACCTCTGGTGTCCCCTCTCTGTACTTCACCTGCCTCCGATGTCCCCTCTCTACTGCTTCTCTCATCCGCCTCCGGTGTCCCTTCTCTGTACTGCTCCTCTCATCTTCCTCCGGTGTCCCTTCTCTGTACTGCTCCTCTCATCTTCCTCCGGTGTCCCCTCTCTGTACTGCTCCTCTCACCCACCTCTGGTGTCCCCTCTCTGTACTGCTCCTCTCACCCACCTCCGTTGTCCCCTCTCTGTACTGCTCCTCTCCCCCACCTCTGGTGTTCCCTCTCTGTACTGCTCCTCTCACCCACCTCTGGTGTTCCCTCTGTGTATTGCTCCTCTCACCCACCTCTGGTGTTCCCTCTCTGTACTGCTTGGTCCACAGCCAGGCCAACCTGGTCCACAAATTTTAAGTTTAAGAACTAGACGCACCTACTATGAGTGCGTAGCGATGACCATAAGGAATTTGTGTGAGAAAGTGTTGATGACCTCATAAAAATCAGGATTGATAAGTAAATTGTGCCGTTAAAGTCCCACCAAAAAAGAGGACTTCCCCCCCCCCCCACCTATCAGAGTGAGTTTGTGCACGCCTATAATATGTGCTGCTGTATTTGCTGAAGTAAGCAGTGAGTTTTTTCTTTGTTTATACTGTTGAAGTAGCGCTGTCTTAACCATACATAAAAATAAACTTTGGACCAGGAATCCATCAAAGAGATTGAGTTTTATGGTGCTTTCCTGCCAGAGAGCTACCGCCTGAGCATGTCTCCTGTCACAATTCGTCACAGATGCTGATAGGAGTTCCTAGAGAGAGACATTTACATTGAAACTCTCAGGCCTGGTCAGGGCTGGACTGACAACTCATGGAGCCACCGGGCAATAGGGGATCATGGGGCCCCTGTGTCCTTGCCCAAACTCAAAAAAGCCTATGAAAAAGGTACCAGAGGCATTCATGGGGCCCCCTACTGACCCCGGGCCCTCGGACAGTGCCCGAGTTTCCAAATGGTCAGTCCGCCCCTGGGCCTAGTTCACACTGAATGCAGCTATGAAATCTTGCTACTTTAGCAGCAGTAGCGCAACTTCAAAGCTGCTGGTTACTGCGATTTCAGGTGTGGCTTGGTGACATCTGTGTGACTTTATGTACAGATGTCAATGCAAGTCGCACATGAAATCGCCATAAATAGTGCAGGAACCTTTTTCAAAATCGGTTCAAGTCACAGTCACACCGATTTTAATGGTTCCATACGCATAAATAGGGTGTGACTTGTCATGTGATTTTGAACTGTCAAGTTGCATGACAAATCACATTAGTGTGAATGGGGGCTCAGGGACCTGTTTTGGCTGAGCACTGTTGCCTCTCCTAAAATAGAGGATGTTGTAAAAGCCCTTGTCCAGGCTACAGCTTCTTAGCTGGAGTCATGTCTTGGTCTCTGAGCAAATGCAAAGAGCCGAGGACTCTCAAACCAGGATGTACAATGGGTCAGAAAGGGTAAGAAAGTTTCAACCTGCAGACAGGGTCTCAGTGTTGGCCCTAACCATGGAAAATACATTTCTGGCCCAGTGGAAAGATTTGTTTGAGATCCTCGAACAAGCTAGGGAGTTAAACTCTGGAATGGAATGCTTCATCCAGACAAGCAGAAGCTATAACAGATATACCGTAGAGAACACGTGGGTGCTCCAGCTAGATGGCTACTACCAACCAGTTCTTCTTAGAAGTTAAAGAGGCTGCCAACTTATCCAAAGTGCAGTAGCAAAAATGGAACCAAGAGGTCTTCTCATACGTCAATGTTTAAAGGGTTAAATGCTCTTTTAGTCTGGGGGTGCAGGGAAAACTTGTATTATTTACCCAATCCCTAGGTGTGGCAGGCTCCAGTGCTGTTCTCTTATACCCAAAGCTCTCAGCTGTGGGCAGTCCCTCTGTATCATCACGTACAGTGCAGGGCTATTAGCATTCAACCAGTGCTGAAAGCATCGTTCCCATGGATGAAGGGAGCCTACCAGAGTCAGTAATAGGGTAGGTTTTACACCTTATCCTTGCATATCTAGATCAAATGAAAATGTAACCTTTACAGTGTGGGGGCTCCACTGCAAGGGTCCAGCTTTAAAGGGTTGGTTGATCTTTCCCAAAAAACTGCCTATGTAGGTAACGGGCACAAGTGTTGGCAAGTGTAGTTCTCCTCCACCATGAAGGTAGAACCTTACTGGTCAGGGATGGAGTGGAGGTCAAAGGGGAAGATGTTCTCAGGCAGCCTTTATAGGTGTCAGAAGGGACGCAGCTGTCTGATTAGACGCTGCACTTCCAGTGCCTTCTACAGCCATCTTGGGTGGTATTAAATAGCAGAGACCTACCTGGTTTGACACACATTTTGAAAGTAGATAGTGTAGGGAGGGGAACCCTGGAAGGGACAGAGTAAGGTTCCAGTGCGAGAAGGGCCAGAGTAGGGGGTCACTGTTGTGTGCTATAGTCTGCACTGTTCTTTAGTGCTGCCGCCACCACACACTCCATCCTGAATTGAGCCACAATTGTGTCTGCCACATGTCAGCCTGCCATCTCTCCAACAAATGCCACCCTGATAAGACCCACACAGCCTGCACTGCACAATGGCACTAGT